TTTTTTTTTTTTCGCCATATAATTTAAGTGAAGAATTTCATATATATATAGGAGGTATATCCAAATTAGGCCTCCAGTACAAATGAAGAATTTCATAATTTAAATGAAGGAATTTCATAAATGAAGAATTTCTTATCTAGATACACAATGATTTTTTATTTTTTTTACTAGGCCCCCCAGTACAAATTAAATTTCAAGTCAAACCCAAACCCAAACCCAATATTGAAACTTAACGGCTAATGGACGCTGCAAGAAGACCACTCAAGAGTCGGCTAAAAAGCGGAAAGCGGGCGAATTCTCTTCCCGAAATGCACCTCCGGTAGGTGAACGGGATGACCTTTCGGATCAATACAATGCCCCGTTTCCGATTTACTCGCGGAAAGAGGGCGAGATTTATGCCCGTCTTTCGCAAAAGGAGGTGGTGAGGCCGAAAGCAGTAGATTGGGACCTTCTGAATGACTTGGGTATTCTAGAGGACGTGATGAAATACCTCAAGGTTCTTAACTTAACCGAATATGCCAAGATCGAACACACATCGCATCGGGGCCTTATGCTTGAGTTTTTCAGCTCATTTGTTCTCGCGGATGGGAACGAATATTTCACTTGTCGGCTCCAGGGGAAGGATTTTACAGTGGACAACGCCGTCATGAAACATGTTTGCGGGTTCACCATTGCCGGTACGCGTAGCAAGGCCATCGACTTCGACCCCCACAGGTGTTGGGCCGAACTCTCCCCGCATACGACTTGGGACTCTGCCGGTATGTCCAATGGGCTTATTCAGGACCTGGCCACTGCTGTAGTTCATCGGTTCATCTGCTACAACATCTCCGGAAAAAAGGAGGCGAACAAGGTCAGTGAGGTCGAGCTTTTTCTCTTATGGGCAATGAGAGCGGGAGTGCGAGTGTGTTTCATGACCTTCTTGCAGAACACCTTGCAAGAAATTGCACTCAACCGGCGTGGAGCACCGGCCATTGGTCATTTTATTACGGCACCCGCCCGTCACTTCGGAGTCACTCCACAGCCCTACAAATTATTTGGTGAGATGGGGGTTCAGGACACGACTCAGATGCGTTGTATTAACTTCGCAGAGCTCAAGCAGGCTGACCTAATCAAGAACCGGACTATTGCTCAGGAGTATACTCAGTGCCAGGCTTACAGTACATACTTCAAAAGGCTCCAGCAGGGTGCGCCTACCGCCGATCAGCCAGGGTCGTCTCGCCAGCCGACGGGAGGCGACGAGCATGCACAGATGAACATCGATGACGACCATTCACTACCACCTCCTCCCGTGTGGACACCGGCCCCGGTTCTGCAGCCAGAAGCAACTCCACAGCAGCCACCGGGATGGTGGAGCGCATTCCAGTCACAATACACAGCTGACATCCGTTCCATCCACGACCGCTTTGATGCCCAGGACGCCCGACTGGACGGTTTCGAGAGCCGTCAGGCCAACCAGTGGACTGGCTGGGAGACCCACCAGCAGACTCAGTGGGATCATTGGGAGACCCAGCAGCAGACCCACTGGACTCAGATGGACACGCGCTTCGATGGCTTCGGTGATAGCCTTCGGTCTATTCGAGAGCGGCAGGACCAGCAGGATGCTCGATTGGACAGCTGGGATCAGAGGTTTACCCAGTGGGACACCCATTGGGGCTCGGGACCCAGTCAGCCTTACCCACCACCGCCACCACCGAACGCACAGTGACTTGTCACTGTGCTTAGTATGTTTTCTTTTTCCTTTTCTCTTTTATTTTTGTATAGTTTGCTCTTTTCGTGACGGTTAACTATATGGTCTACTCTCTTTCGATGCGAATCGACAATGGGGACATTGTCTGATTTTAAGTGTGGGGGAGTTTACGTGCTTGCGTGACTATGTGGTAAACCTTCTAGTCCTTCTTTTTAGGGTTGATTTTATGTCTTTCTCTTGTTGGTGGACCAGTCTAGTTTAGGTTTATGTGTTTTTAAGTTGGACATTGGTGAATATCGAGACTAGTTTATGATTGTTTAACGGCGTTGAGAAGTTGTGATGATGATCTTGAGTGGCATATTTTGATTTGTGGCTCGGTTGCTTTGATTAACACTCATACATATTTACCTGGTGAGGTTTGAGCCTTTATTGTTTTTCGTGTGATATTGGTCAGAATCTTGTCAAGTAGAATTTGCCTTGAGACTGCTATGAAATAACTCGATTAGATTTGTGAAACGCCGCATCACTACCGGGTGGCGTATGTGCATTGACTATAGGCGGCTGAATGCTGTGACCAAGAAGGACCACTTTCCGTTGCCGTTCATTGACCAGATCCTGGATCGTCTATCGGGCCACCAGTTCTACTGCTTTTTGGATGGGCTCTCCGGCTACTACCAAGTGGCCATAGCACCCGAGGATCAGCCCAAGACGACATTCACGTGCCCCTTTGGTACTTTTACGTTCAGACGGATGCCCTTTGGCCTATGCAATGCCCCGGGCACATTTTAGAAGTGCATGTTCTCCATCTTCTCAAATATGCTTGAGGACTGCTTGCAGGTATTCATGGACGACTTCTCTATATTTGGTAATTCTTTTTCCCATTGTCTTCGCAATTTGTCTAGAGTCCTTGAACGTTGCATTGAGTCCAATCTGACCTTGAGTTGGGAAAAGAGTCATTTTATGGTTAGAAGTGGAGTTGTCTTAGGTATATTGTTTCTTGTAGGGGGATTGAAGTCGATAAGGCCAAGGTTGATGTGATTGAAAAACTCCCCCCTCATGTGAATGTTAAGGGGATTAGAAGTTTCTTGGGGCATGCGGGGTTCTATAGGCGTTTCATTAAGGATTTTTCTAAAATTAGTCAGCCTCTTTGTCATTTGCTTGCCCAAGATGTGCCATTTGTATTTGATGATGCTTGTTTGTGTGCTTTTAATAAATTGAAGAGTAAACTTGTAAGTGCCCCGATTGTTATTGCCCCTGATTGGTCGATCCCTTTTGAAATCATGTGTGATGCGTCTAATCTTGCAGTGGGCGCCGTTTTGGGTCAACGAGTTGATAAATTGCTGCGAGTGATTTATTACGCTAGCTTGACCCTTAATGGGGCCCAACAGAATTATACTACCACCGAGAAGGAACTTCTAGCCGTGGTCTTTTCTCTTGAAAAATTTAGATCATACATTTTGGGTTCTAAAGTGATTATCCACTCTGACCATGCGGCTTTGAAGTACCTTTTGAGCAAAACTCATTCTAAACCACGGCTCATCCGGTGGATCTTGTTACTGGAAGAATTTGATGTTGACATTAGAGATAGGAAGGGGTCCGAGAATGTAGTTGCTGATCACTTGTCATGCATAGTACCATCTGAATCATCATCTTCATTGATTATGCACCATTCCATTAATGATAATTTTCCCTATGAGCATGTGCATGCGGTGTCTAAAAGTGTTTGGTACGCTGACATTGTGAATTACTTGAGTTGTGGAAAATTGCGGCCTGATCTCTCTTCCCAAGAGAGAAAGCGTTTTGTTTTGTTGTGCAGGAGTTATTTCTGGGATGATCCATTCCTCTTTAAGATGGGAAAAGACGAGATTCTTCGGAGGTGTGTGCCCGAAGAAGAGCAATCGGATGTTCTCGTGTTTTGCCACGAGCTCAATTGTGGAGGACATTTTGGAGGTCGGAAGACCGCCTTTAAAGTCCTCCAGTCAGGTTTGTTTTGGCCAACTCTCTTTAGAGATGCTCATAGTTTTTGCAAATCTTGTGATAGATGCCAAAGACTTGGGAACATTGGTCCTAGGAATGAAATGCCCCTTGTGAACAATCTACAAGTGGAAACTTTTTATGTTTGGGGTATTGACTTTATGGGACCATTTCCCAAATCTTTTGGTTTTGAATATATTCTCCTTTCTGTAGATTACGTGTCCAAGTGGGTTGAGGCCATCCCCACACGGACATGTGATGCTAATGTGGTTATCAAGTTTTTTCAAGGACATATTTTGAGCAGGTTTGGTTTTCCACGGGCTATTGTGAGTGATGGAGGGAAGCATTTTTGCAACCGTGTCTTTGAGAAACTGATGAAAAAATACGGTATCTCTCATAAAGTGGCCACTCCTTATCATCCTCAACCAGGCAGAAACGAGTAACAAGCAGATAAAGACCATTCTCGAGAAGACAGTGAATTCGTCTAGGAAGGATTGGTCGAGTCGGCTTGACGATGCACTGTGGGCCCAAAGGACCGCTTACAAAGGTGTTTTGGGGATGAGCCCTTTTTGGCTAGTCTATGGAGAATCGTGCCACTTACCGGTTGAAATTGAGCACAAGGAGTTTTGGGCAATCAAGAAGGTGAATTTTGACCTTGATGCAGCCGGACGAGAGAGGATGTTATAGCTCTCGGAACTCGAAGAATTGAGGAATGAGGCTTACGAGAGCGCAAAGATTTACAAGGACAAAGTGAAGAAGCTTTACGATGCCACTATTGTCCGTAAGAATCTCGAGCCCAGCCTGAAGGTACTTCTATTTAACTCCCGCCTTCGTCTCTTTCCCG